TGATGAGTCCGCAGTGGCTCCAGAGTTTCTGCTGCTCCTGTGATGGTTTTGGCTTGTTGTTTCTTCTCTTCTCTTCCCTTGAAATCAAGATCCACAAATACAACCCTTTCCTAACTCCCCCTCATTCCCACCTCTATTACATGTATACACACACTTTTTATAAAAAAGAATTATTTTATTTAACTTTATTTATTTATTCATTCATTCATTCATTTATTTTAATTGACCAGAGAGGATAGAGGGATGGGGCAAGGGAATTGAGAAAGCAAGCCGCCAGGTCCAGGACTCTATCTGTAGTTCACCATGTGGGAATCCAGCATCCTTAACCACCACGCCACCTGCTGGCCCCAATGCACACTTTTTTAAAGCCTGTTTGAATTGAGTTTTGATCATTTGTTATGTTAAACAAGATCAGAGTATGAATCTTTTGGCTAGCATTTTGCAAAATATATGGTATTTTTTTCCTATGTGAGAGATGAGCAAGAATGCTTTCATATTCTGAATCAATATGGTATTAGTTCACTAGGACTACTATAATAAAATAAACGATGTGGCTTAAAACAGCAGAAATGTATTCTCTCACAGTTCTCAGATTAGACGTCTGAAACGGTGTCGGAAGACTGTGCTCCCTTTGACTTCTATGGAAGGATTCTCCCTTGCTTCTTCCAGGCTCCTAACAGTTTGCAACAGTCCTTGTTTCTTGGCTCGAAGCCGCATCACTGCAGTCTCTGCCTGCATCCAGCCTGTTTGCCTTTTAATTATTAATTGCGTCTTTAAACTCTTTCTCTCCTGCATTTCACTCTGTATATTTAAAAGAAGCTCTGTAGCATCTTCAGTATTTCACTTCAGAATTTCTTCCACCAGATATCCTAATTTGTTGTTCTTAAATTCTGCCTTACACAAAGCTTTTGGGCCTGGGCACAATTCAGCAAAAATCTCTCTTTTTTTTTTTTTTTTTTTAAGAGATTTTTGCTACAGGGCGCATGCACTTGCCAGAAAGAGAGAAACAGAGAGACAGAAAGCGAGAAATCACTCCCAGGGGGATGGCCACGCCACAATCCGTTCTCCTCCATTCTCCTCTCAGGATCTTGGGCGTGCGTGCACACGTGCCTGGCATGAGTTTAAGTCACCAGGTCCAGGACTCAAACCGCGGTCGACTATATGGGAGTCCAGTGATAGCCATTACGCTAACTGCTGGTCCCAATTCAGCAAAAATCTTTACCATTTTGTAACAGTGATGACCTTTCCTCTAGTTCCCATTACCTTGTTTCACATTTCTGACAGAAAACAATCAGAATTGCCTTTATCATCCATATTTCTTCCAACTTTCTGATCATGACCACCTAAGAAACCTCTAAGAAGTTTCAGACTTACCTTACAGGTCTCTTCTTCTGCATTCTTGCCAGAATTGCCCTTAATGCTTTGCTTTCTAGCTTGCTCCTCCAAATTCTTTGAGTTTCTACCCGTTACCCTGTTCCATTCACATTTTCAGATATTTGTTATAGGGACACCCTACTTGGTACCACTTTTCTGTCATAGTCCACTTGCGCTGCTATAATGGAATACCTGAGACTGAGTAATTTATAAAGAACAAACATTTATTGGTTTGTTGGTGTGAGTCTAGGAAGTGCAAGATGAAGGGTCTGACATCTGTCACGGGTCTACTTGCTATCTCATTCTATGGTAGAAGGTGGGAGAACAAGAGACAGAGAGAAAAGGGAGTTGAACTCATCTTTTCAGAAGGAACCCACTCCCCTAATAGTGGTGTTAATCCATTCATGAGGACAGAATTCTTATGGCCTAACCACTTTTCATTAGGTCCCACCTCCCAATACAGTTATATGGATGATTAATTTTCTAATACGACAACTTTGGGGAACTCATTTAAACCATTGCAGTACCCGTATGTATTTTATGTGTCGCCTGAGAATAGCATGTAGCTGGGTTTCTGTGTAAAATTTTGGGCTGAGAATGTGTTCTTGTAAAGGGAGAAGTTATTTGATATTTCTTGAGATTTGCTTTGTGGCCTAAAATATGGTTTGTTTGAGTAAATCTTGTGTGCTTGAAAAGAAAACATGTTTATTATTTGGTACAGAGTTCTTTATAGACCCTATATTATTTATTGTTCAAGTAATCTTCTCTATTCATGTTAATTTTTTGACTGCTTGACCTATATATTATTACTGAGAGAGGTATATAAAAATTGTGACTGAATTTGTCTTCTTTTTCTTTGTATTTGTCAATTCTCTGTATATTCTTTTGCACTCTAGGTCAAATTTGGTTCTTAGTAGTGAATTGTTATTTTTATCATCATAAAGTGATTTTATTCCTAATAAAGCATTTTTTATTAAAATGTGTTTTATCTGGAGTTAATGTGGCAATGCCATCTTCCTTTTGTTCGTATGATATATCTTTTTCCTTCTATTTATTTTTTCTCTTTTGTGTGTCATTGCATTTTAGGTATGGTATTTAAAAATGACATAACAGAATTTTTTTGAAATTAACAACTGAGATTATCTGTAACTAGCATGTTTGGTACGTGTACCTTTATTGTGATTACCAGTATATTAGACTTATTTCTGCTGTTTTATTTTGTCCTTTCTACTTAACATACTTTTTTTCCTTTGTACTTTTTTCTCCTTGGCTTTCTACCGTTTAGATTAAGAATTCTTTATCCTTCCTTTTCACCTTCTCCTGAAATGGAAGTTATTCTCTCATTAACATAAATTTTGCCTTATAGTTCGAAATACATGCACACACACACACACACATATAAGTAGTCTAAAATTCATCTATGTATTTTTTTTATCCTCCTGAAAGACAGGATTTTGGAGTGTTTTACCGATGAGCAACCCCTCCATCTTAGGTGTTTGACTATTTTGGTTCCACCTTATTTTTATACCACCAAGGTTATCATTATTATCTGACACAGTGTTTACTAGATTGGTACACCATCTTCTATGCTTACCCTTGCTTCCGTGTCCTGCTCCTTCCATTTGTAGTCAGTGCCTTTTGTCCCTTCTTTTCATATGCCTTTCATTAGTTTCTTCATTGAAAGTCTGTAAGTGATGAACTCCAAACTGAAAATATGTCTTAGTTTTACCCTTTCTTTGCTTGTATTTTGCATTTCGAATTCTAGGTTGAATTTTTTCCTTTAGAAATACTAATTTATCATTCATTCACTTATTTAGCAAATAATTGTTGAATGCCTTCCAGATGCTAGCAATACAGTAGTGATCAACACACAAAAAAATTTCTGCCTTCTTAATACTACATTCTTTTTTTTAATTTCAAAATTATTTATTTAATTTTATTTGTTAATTCATTTATTTATTTTAATTTGATGAGGGAGAGAAATAAAGTGAGAAAGCAAGCCAGGACTCAAACCATAGTCAGCCACGTGAGAGTGTCTAGTGCTTTAATCACCATACCACCTACTGGCCCTGATGCTACAGTCTACTGGGAGGGGATAATAAAATAATTAAGGTAAATGTATAATGTGTTGGTGAAAATTTGTTAAAAATGGGAATAAAGCAAGGAAAGGGGACAGAGTTTAGGGTACGGTTTGAAGAGTAGTTGCAGTTTTAGGTGGGATGAGCAGGATAGGGGGCACTTGAACAAAAACCTGAGAGAGGTCAGGTATTAAGTCATCTCAGGAAAGGGTTCTTGGAGGAGAAGCACTTAGTGCAGTGAGGGCTCCAGGTCGGAGCTTTGTCTGGCATGTTAGTGGAATAGCCAGCGGAGCAGCATGGCCAAAGCAAAGGAAGCGAGAACGAGGGAGGACCGGGTAAGGTAGGAGGTCCTAGAGGTAAGGGTGAGGGTGTTGGGGTCAGATCTGTTAAGACTCTGTGCTCCACTTTTAGGCTTAGTCTTTTTCCCCAGTAAGTGAAATGGGAAGCTGTTGAGGGGTCAGATCGAGGACTAATGTGAT